AAAAACGTCATAGTATAGTATGTCAAAAAATGTCATAATATAGTAAGGCATAAAAACATGAAAAAAACGTCATAGTATAGTAAGGCATAAAAATGTAAAAAAAAACCGTCATAGTATAATAAGGCATAAAAACGTCATAGTATAGTATGTCAGAAAATGTCATAAAATAGTAAGGCATAAAAACGTCATAGAATAGTAAGGCATAAAAACGTCAGAAAACGTCATAATATAGTAAGGCATAAAAACGTCAAAATATAGTAAGGCATAAAAACGTCATAGTATAGTATGTCAAAAAACGTCATAGTATAGTATGTCAAAAAATGTCATAATATAGTATGGCATAAAAACATGAAAAAAACGTCATAGTATAGAAAGGCATAAAAATGTAAAAAAAAACCGTCATAGTATAATAAGGCATAAAAACGTCATAGTATAGTATGTCAGAAAATGTCATAAAATAGTAAGGCATAAAAACGTCATAGAATAGTAAGGCATAAAAACGTCAGAAAACGTCATAATATAGTAAGGCATAAAAACGTCAAAAAACGTCATAATATAGTAAGACATAAAAATGTCAAAAAATGTCATAGTATAGTAAGGCATAAAAACTTCATAGTATAGTATGTCAAAAAACATCATAGTATAGTATGTCAAAAAACGTCATAAAATAGTAAGGCATAAAAATGTGAAAAAAACGTCATAGTATAGTAAGGCATAAAAATGTGAAAACACGTCATAGTATAGTATGTCAAAAAACGTCATAAAATAGTAAGGCATAAAAACATCAAATGTCATAAAATAGTAAGGCATAAAAACATCATAGTATAGTATGTCAAAAAACAGTAAGGCATAAAAATGTGAAAAAAAGTCATAGTATAGTAAGGCATAAAAACGTCATAGTATAGTAAGTTATAAAAACCTCATAAAATAGTAAGGCATAAAAACGTCAAAAAACGTCATAATATAGTAAGGCATAAAAATGTGAAAAAAACGTCATAGTATATTATGTCAAAAAACGTCATAAAATAGTAAGGCATAAAAACGTCAAAAAACGTCATAAAATAGTAAGGCATAAAAATGTCAAAAAACGTCATAAAATAGTAAGGCATAAAAACATCAAAAAACGTCATAGTATAGTATGTCAAAAAACGTCATAAAATAGTAAGGCATAGAAACGTCAAAAAACGTCATAGTATAGTATGTCAAAAAATAGTAAGGCTTAAAAAAGTTTTTTAAAAAAGTCATAGTATAGTAAAGCCATAAAAATGCCAAAACACCTCATAAAATAGTAAGGCATAATAACATCATCTCAAGTGAAAAAGGATCAATTGTATGTTCAGGGCTTGAAAGTATCAGAGCGTACACAAACTCCTCCATCTGCCCCATGTCATCTCACTACGATATAATACATAAGTTGTAACACTTGTAAGCAGCAAGAGAGAATAACAGGTGAGGTTGAGTTACCTCAGTGAGTTCAGCTAATTATCGCTTTCCTGGAAGTGCATTAAAAAGATAAAACTACAGTTGGCTTCACCTCACTAAAGACCTTCCATGCAAAGGTATTACACATTATTTTGTCCATTTTTGTGACGAATTGCAGACTTCTCTGGCTGGAGAGAAAACCTGAGGAATGTATTTAATTACAACACTGCAGTAAATCGTTTGTCAAGGCACCCCACTTGGTCTCACAGGGAACCGGTTACTGTTAAAACTGGGCAGGGAGAAGTGTTTCTCATATCCAAACAATTTTTTTTTTTTTTTGTATTTATCACTTCATTTTTTGTGTGGAGTCTGCCAGAACGATGCATTCATGTCCAGTGCTTAGTTAGCTTGTGAACCGAGTGCAGCTGATTCACAAAGCTAAGCCTCCCTCACCTCCCTTAGCGCTGACCGCCACAAATAAATTATCAACCCGTGGGAGGCAAATTATGTCACTGCTGTGACACTTTTTTGTTCCTGAGGGGACATGTTTGCTGTTGACTGTTACCATAAATTCACAAATACTGTCCTTTATTCAACCCAACTGCGGCGTGCCAGGCCATTATTGAAAACAGGCTTTTTTTCTAAGCTGCCAGTTTATTAGCTACACAGAGCTAAAGCTAATGCAGTGTAATACAACAGTCCTGCAATAACTCCTTCCTCGTGAAGGTTATAATGTCAGAGTGGTGTCAATGAGGCTAAATAACAAAGAACCACCATGATGTATATTTCAGCACAGTTCAACAGCACCACCAACTGCAGTGTCCAGAATGATGACAGTTGAATCAACACCTCTCTCATGAAGGACATAGACTACATTTAAGTTTTACCCAGGTGTACGATAGACAGGCCTGTAGTCATATCTTTAATGAGATGTTTCCTGATTTGCTGCAGTTTTAATTTGTTGTTGATGCTTTTTGCCTGCATGTTTACCTGTTGTCGTGATAAGTCGCATAATTTCGTACTCTCTGCTCTGCTGCTCCGAGTTTCTTTTCTCTAACAGAAATACTGTTTTTAATTCTTTTGATTGATGCCAGTTGTGTCCAGTTCGCTATTTTTCAAGTGCGGTCAGTTCAGAGTCACTGAAACTCTTCCTGCGTCAACGTTGCACATTAAAGCCTTCCAGCATCTTCCAGTCCCGCTACGATTTTAATTTTAAACATTTGCAAGAAATATGATAGTGACTCAGTGAGAAAAAAAACAGGAGAGCAGAAATGGTTTTAATTGGTGAATAAAAAGTGTATTTGTGATAAAAAGCAGAAACTTGGTGAGTCAGACATGACTGCTTTTGTGATGATGGAATTAATGCTGTGGAAATTTACCTGTATAATGTACTATACAGGTGCGTTTCACTGTGTCTAATCTGTTGTTTAATTAATTAGTTTGAAATTTACCACATGATGATGGACTGACGTTGCCTCCTGTGATCTGTCTCAGGTGAATGGACCCTACCATCCCGCCCAGTCTTCCGGCCTGTGACAGACGACCAAATCGGACCTCTCTGCTGGATTGATGAGGTGGTGACGGCCTCTCAACTGGAGGCCATTAATGGACATCATGTTGTCCGTGTGGTCTGACCTCGTCCCTTCCTCTTCAAGGCTCCGCAGCATCGTGGGGGAAATTCTCCTTTTGTTCTGTCCCTGCCAAGAAGGACAAAATGAACAGTGGCAGGCCACATTCAGCAGCGTGTGGCCTGGTGAGCGGTCGTTCTCACTCACCGCAGACTATTTGTGGATCTGGTATGGTTCTTGGATTATGCCTTACACCAAGACTACTTATTCAGCAGTTTCCTCAAACATCCCTAAATATGAAGCATCGTGTCAAGCCTGACAGTCACTCAAAGCCTTTTCCATCGTGCGGTCAGATCAAATGTCTTCGCCCATGCCTCAGAATACTGTCAGACTTTTCAGATGCTGGACACTAAAGGATGACTTATGTCTGGATTTCCACACTGTTTCATTCCACACCGCTCTGGACTGCAAAAACTCTGTATGAAGTAAAGACTAATGCTGCGTTTGACTCAGTCGGAAGTTGGAAATTCCTACCCGGTACAACGCTGTAATAACAACCTCTGTTCTCATGCAGTCATAGCTGGAAAACCCCAGACGGGAGAGAAATTAACGCCGGGGAGATTTCCTTTGATCGACACAAACACTGCTCCTTATACAGCAGCTAATGTCCCTCTAATCGTTGGCTAGGTATCACAACAGCATTAAGTTTACATCACGAAGTCGTGTTTATCCATTTAGCAACTTGACATTTGGGAAATACACTTATTTGCTTTATTGACTCAAGTTAGATATTTGATATTTGTGCGTTAAATATGAAGCTAAGGGACAGTTAGGTTAGTCAAGCATAAAGTCTGGAGGCAAGGGGAAACGGCTAACTTCACAATGTCATAAACAAGACACATTGTGTTAGTTTGTCAGCTTTAAAAATGTTTTTCTTACGTTTGAACAGCTGTAGCTTCATATTTAACACACAGATATGACAGTTTAATCCCTCTTCTCATCTAATGTTTGACAGGAGAGCATATAATAATATTTCCCCAAAATGTTGGCGTATTCTTTAAGCTTTAAATCCACACACAGTTTCCAGTCGGATTTAAGGTGATGTGCTGAACGTCTAAGGAGCGATGAAATACTGCGGATATCTGCATCACAAAAAACTCATTAATTTCCACTTGGCTTCTCTGTTGCATTTTCTTAGCAGGAAGTTCATAATTTCTTACCGTATGGTTTGTCTGGAAGGCAGCAGAGCATCTATGTGCTTCTACCTACAACTCAGCATCACTGTTAAATCAATCAATTTAGAATTGTCAAACATTCACAGGTTGCAGTTTCTCAAATGTGAGAACCTGCTGCTCTTTCTGTTTTTATATTGTCATAAACAAGTTTAGGACCTCACCTGAGCGGTTTTTCTTGAAACTGTAGAGATAAAATTTAAATCACGAGGCTTCTCTTCGTCTATAGTAGTGCCTGTCTGAAGATACACTGCCCAGTCTTTGTTAAATCAGCCTCATCGTCCAGCTGATCCTCCTCACTGTCTGCAGAAGCTTTATACCTGGAGGTCAGGAGATGATAGACAGGATTACAAACAGTATTCTCTCACTGCCTCTTGTATTTGCTTCTAAATAGTTTTAGGATTGTACGTTTTCTCTTGTGAAATGCTGGATAGTTTTCAGCTGCTCTGCTTCCTCTGATATTTACTGCTTGACAGCGTCACTTTGTTTTAACGGCGCACAAGCCAACAGGGATCAGAACTGCTGTTTTATAGTCTTTCTCACTCTCGCATGATGAAGGAAAGGAGACTTGTTTGATTTTTCTTTTCCTCTTGCCTTTGCTAATGGAGCTTGAAATCTTTTGTGCCTGTTTGTCTGTTTTGTTCCTCACTCACTAAATTCCTCTTTATTTGCACAGTTAGCTCCACTTTACTCTGTTTTCACAATCCACAAGTCGTTTGTTTTAACTCAGACTACCATACTGGTGGCTTTACTTTATCAGGGCAAATCAAATGTACTGAACTTTTTCCAGCAGTCATTATGTAGCAAACCCAATCTGTCTGGTACCGTATCCCCCCCCCCCCGGAGGTAACACTGTCACCATGTAAATGTAGATTCTGTTTGACTAGCATCTGTCACTGTGGGGAGGGATTTCACCTGCATGTAGTTGTGTCTTCACCCAGTTCTGTCTGCTGTGTTTCCACGTCACGAATCAGCATCTGCATCTTTAAATCATTTCACTTCTGCTGGAAAGAAACAAACAAAATTCTCGTCTTCGATGTTCTCACTAACGTACAAAAATAGTGACACTATCATAAAGTTCAGCTTCAAACTTGAGGCTTCTTAAATTGTAACTTACGCGTTGTTTTTTTTGTTAAGTCTCTTCCAGAGGGGAGATGTCGTTGCCGTGTCAGTTGCTGAAGGACATTTCTGTGGCTCCGTTTTAAATCAACACAGTCGATCGCCCTGTTAAGAAAATGCAAACAGTCAAAAAGAAGAATTTTAAATCAGCTGTTAAACGTCTTTGATTCTTATTTTACTAAAGATAAACAAGGGGCGGGGTGACATGATTCCAAGTAGAGAAACTACAAGACGCCCCTCGTGCTTTTACAAAAATAAAGATTTAAAGACTGAACGTGACAATGTGTTGTTCAGAATGTCATAAATACTAAAACTGGAGAATCTGAGTCAATCTGGTGTCACTGTTTTCCCTTCAGCCGTCTCCATTATGAAGAAACGACCTGAAAATGGCTTCAGATCAGTGAAACTGTGATCATGTCAGAACTGTGATCATGTCAGAATGTATATATAAATATATGATGAGCCAAATTTTGACTTTCTGGAGATGAATATTATCTTTTTTTTATGATTTCAAAGTGATGAATGCAAAAGACTTACAGGAAATGACTTCTTTGGTGTCCACATGTCCTGTACTGTTTTTATTTTACTTTACACTGATTAAAATGATTTTGTTAAAGTGTTTTTCAGTTCCTGTTTGATAATAGACGCTCTGATTGTCCATCGTCTTTCAATTTTGGTCAAGAACGAAGCTGAACAAAGACAATAAAGTACATATCTATCATTTAGTAGAGGACTAATTTGTTTTTACATCATCTCTCTAAATCAAGCATAGGTGGCGCCCATGCTGCATTTTAACTCCTATGCTCCTATTTATTTTGTGCTTGGGTTGTCCGTCCATCCCACTCTCGAGGACACAATGGCTCAGTAACACCTTGAGGGAATTTCTTAAGATATGGTAAAAATTTTCACCTCAACTCAAGGACAAACTGATTAGACTTTGGTGGTTAAAGGTCAAGGTGACCTCTGAAAACAAATTTTAGCCATAACTCAAGACCTCACACAGCAATTAGTACAGAATTTCACACAAATGGTTAAAATTTTATATGAGTCTAGATAAACAGGGATGTGACCTGAAACTAGTGGCGGATGCAGACAACTGCGAGGTGCTAATTCTAGTTAGCATGTGAAACACCCTAAACAACTGGACCCCAGGTTATATTTGCAACTGCAATGACAAACTGCATTTTTAGCAGAGAGAAGAAAAAAGAAAAGCCATAAAATGATGTGTCTATATACTGAGAACAGTGTGTTCAGGAGCTGAGCTGAATTCAGGTCAGCCAGAGAGGGAAAATAATCCATCACTTGCAGCTGGTAACTGATAAAATAGCAATACAGCCAAACCAGGAAGACTCCCAAGTCTAAGAGAGTCAGCTATTACATGCTGAAGAGCTTAAAGCCTGTACTGCAGTCAGATTGTTCTGTGAGGAGAAACTCAAGAGTTCACTTGGAAGGTGTTTGACGATGCTTTATATTTCAGAGAACCTCCTGAATTCAAGCATTTTAACATTTTGGGATGAGTGTGCAGCAAGAAGACGTAAAACCATCACACCTGTCAGCTTCTCATTGTGAGAACTGAACAAACCTTCCTGTAAAGTCATTTATCGAAATGGAAAAGAAGATAAAATCCAAAAATTGTTTACATCAACTAAGATTCAAGTCAAAATGTTAAACTAATGTAGGATTTTATTTTCTTACCTTTCAGCCTCATTGAATGAAACATCCAGGTGTTTACATCTTTCTTCTCTTTAAAACCCAAGATTCAACCCCTTCATGAATCATGCGCATCGAGACTCCATCTACAATCAGAGCAAATGTGAAGCAGATGTGTGACATCACACATCCATAACATACAAAAAGTCTATAAGATTTATCCGGTGTTGAAACAAGTAATCACATCCTTTACTCAAGTTAACGTCCAGTGATCAAAAGTTTACTTTACCCCGTCACCAGACACCCACATTTTTCTGCACAAGCCTGAAAATAATGTCAATACCCCAGCGTCCTTAAAGGTGCCTCTTTAAATTTTACAACCAAAAACTCAAGATGAGTTGTATCTTTTGTGTGGAAAACACTTTGGAGCCACAGCCACAAGTCTGAACAATCTCTGCGACTGATGTTGCAGTGATGTGAGGATCCTAAAATGCACAGATTTGCACAGATAGAATCAGGAGACTTGGAGTGTTCAAGCAGTGTATAATTAGTCAAGGTTGTGCAACGACTGTAACTCTGGTACAGACCCAAGCACACGGGTGGGAGGGTGCATTTTAAAAAGGTTAAAAGGTTAAATGTGCATTAATATTATCAGCAGGAAAATGTACTAAATGTAGTAAAGTAGTAAAGTAAAAGTAGTTATTATACAGGAGAATGGCTTTTAGTATTCTGTCATTTCAACTGATGCATTTATGTGTAAGCATCATTTTATAATATTTTACTATATATTTACTATATTTCCTTCTAAAATGCAGTTAAGTATAAAATCTAACTACATTAGTATTAGTGGACACTTGTTGTTCATGAATCACCATCATAACTTCAACAAGCTAGCAAGCTAAGAGGCTACATCTTTTAAATGTAGTGGGACAGTCAGGCTAACTAGCATTGCAGCATAAACACAAAAAAACCTCCCTACTAAATCTTTAAAAATGAATCACATATGGTCTAAAAAAAAAGTCCAGTAATTTCTTAAAACAACTGTTAGCAAACACCACTCTAAAGCTAATGCTATAGCGTAACTTATAGTGTAACAAATGCTAATGCTATAGCGGTTTTCACACCGGCAGGATGGTGTATATGGGACTGATTCAAAATGAACTAAAGTGTCTGTGTCCATTGTGATGAAGGAACATGTCAGCCGGTGTGGCTCCATGTGTTTTTAATAGTTTTAACAACAGTTTAAAAATGGAGTCATGTGGCCCAGAGGAACATGATATATGAGGCTTTGACTACACAGACAAAACCTGTTATTAGGAACAATTTGTGGATGGTTTTGGTCTATTCATGAGTTTTGTTGACAGTAATTAAAATACAGAATATCAGCATTATCCTCTCAGTGGGATGTTGCCCCACAAAATCTTCGCTGTTTTGAGGAAGGAAAGGATATCGAATATATCATGATTTGTTTTGACAGTGCAGCTACGTATAAACAAAGATATAAAGACTTACTTCACCTTATTTGTTTTATGGTTAAATTCATTTTATAGATACAGGAAGTGAGTAATCTTTATAAATGTGTGTCTGATGTGTAGACTGGTGTGATTCACCTGCAAAGATGAGACAGAGATCGAATCCAGAGGCTTCAGGTACGTTTTCCCTTTAAGAACACAGGAAAGATTGAGACACATAAGTGGCTGAATTAGAAGGATAAACAGCAGGTGTTGCACTCAGTGTGTTTTTTTTCCACCGGTCTCACCTTCCCTCCACAGAAAACAGCATCATGTTCCAGGAAGTGAAGAAGTGGCCGTGTGCTGATTAAAAATCTCCAGCCGGCATGTCTGCTCTCCGCTGTCCTCGCCGCCTCCCGTCTCCTCACCTGCCCACATCCTGCTGACCGCGGTGACCCTCTTTCATCATGTCTCATCTTCGGCTTTTTAATCTCTCTATTCGTTCTGGCCGGATTAAAGTGCTGAGCAGGAGATGGGGCCGGAAGGATGCTGCTGTCCTGTAAATGAAGAGCTGTGGCGGGTGGAGGAGCAAATCCATCTTTTATGGACCTCCCTCCGTGACAGGCAGGGATTAGCTGGTCAAAACAGAGAGGCAGACAGAGCAGGAAAACACAGGAAATCATCACAAGCCTTTGCCAGTGTTCAAATGACACTGAGGAGTAAAACATGTTATTTTTAACAGCACAAAAACATGCAGATCACTCTTATAAGACAATAATTTTTTTTCTGCATTGCTACATCTAAAAGGAATTTGGAAACGGCTGCTGCCATGCACGACAATAATAAACATACATTAGTTCACATACAGTCCAGACAATAAATATTTGGACAGTTACACACTTTTCGTTCTTCAGGCTCCGAGCTTCAGCACATTCAATTTGAAATAAATGAATGAAGGATTAAATAAAAGTCTCAGCTTTAATTTGAGGATGTTTACGTTAGTAATTAGAAACTGTGTAGATGAAGCCCTGAAAGATTTGTAATTGAGCTGCAAACTGCTTGCAGACTTGTCCTTATCGGGGTAGTCCTTAAAGGAATAGTTTGACAGTTTGGGAAAATGCTTTCATTTGCTTTTCTTGGCGAGAGTTAGATGAGAAGATATATACCGCTCATATCTGTAATTAAACATAAGGCTGCAGCCAACAGCTGGTTAGCTGCAACCAGCTTTCTACAAACAGTAGAAACAGGGGCAAACAGCTTGCCTGGCTCTGTCTGAAGGCAATAAAATCTGCCTAGCAACACCACTAATACTAACTAATTATTTCTCCTTTGATTAATACATACAAAAACCAGCGTCTAAAAATAACGATTCACTGTTTTACAGGTTACTAACATCCAAGACACAGACAATGACCAGCTGAACAAGGCCAGTTCACTGATGCAGGCTCGTGACAACAGTTAAATCAAACGAGAAGTTAAATGAAGCCATTTCACTGAGCTCAGACATTAAGTAAATGTCGTTTTAATGAATAAAATGTATTGTTAAACACTGTTTTTGTTCTAACCTTCTCTCAAACATGAGCTCATTGTGTGGCACTGCTTTCTGTGAGGATTTTTTCCCTTAACTTAAAGTGACATTTCACCTTCAGAGAAGTCCAGGAAAAATCTAGTGTTTTTTTTAACATGGCCAATAGATCTGTAAGTATATCTTTGTGAGAAACAGACAATACTGTTGCGTAAGTGTAGATGGTGTCTTTTGGGTGCCATGTTCATATCGCTGCAAGTAGTTTGAAGGTTAGTGAAATGGGGAGCTTCACTCATATACTGGATGTCTATGGGATCAGTATGTTTATTCCTTAAAGCAGAAAACAGACGTTTACTTTCATGTATTGACAAAGTCTCTACATTACTATTAACAACTAAATGCAAATTAAGTGACTTTTGTATGAGCTCAGAACTTTACAACATACAACGTTATTTAGCATGTCTGCTGATCATGAAAAAAAAACATTTCCCCCAAATTATGCCACAGTTTCCTTCACTCTAGATCGACCTAAACTGCATTAGGATCACATTTGTACTGTTTGTACTGAGATTATGATTTTGTGTTTGTTGCCTGAGCGATTAATAGGCTTTGTTTTCTGTACACAAGCTGTTAGCTTCAAGGGGGACGCTGCTTCTAGTACCATTAACTGTTCTGACTCAGAGCCCAACAGAATTTAATGCACCGGCGGCCTGTAATTCCCACTTGTGGCTGCAGAGGCCGCTGTTGCTGCTGCTCAGCAAAAGTTACGTAGTCTTGTGTTAATTAGTAGCTTTAGAGATTTTGATACCTCAAAGTGTTTCCTCGTCTCCAGTATTTATGCTAAGCTGCTCAGCGTATAGGGAGGGCTATCGATTTAACTCCACACGAAAAGTGAATAAGAATATTTTCCATTATGTTGTTGTTATGTTTTTGTGGCACAACTGGAGTTAAAAAAAGACATTATCTGCTCTCACCTGGTCAAACAAACTGATTCCAAACTCCTCCTTCCAAAAGATCCTCGTGACTCATCTCAGCTTGTAGACCAACTGAATTCACGGACTGGTGTGCAGCTGTTTTACACAGCAATGTTTCCCATAATGAACTCAACTTCACACCTGTAGGGAGTATGACAGAAAGGGAAAGGCAGTGAACCAGAATGACTCATCAGCAGGGTCCTTGTACAACAGCAGGTTCACACATTTGCACACATTCAAATTGAAGATGAACATGATAAAAAGAAAAAGTAACTAAACAGCAACCTCAAATCAAACACAGACTTCAGTGCAATGAAGACAGGAATAACAAACTTTTAACCACACACTCGGCACCCATGTGTGGATGCTATCAGAGTTTTCATGACCAACATGTGCTCAGAGCCATTTGGTCTCAGCATCCCCCTTTGAAGCTCAGATTTAGACAGTGCTGAGCGATCCCTGGATCAATCAAACCAGGTCTGACCTCCAGATGATAAAAAATTAAAAACTGGTCTTACTGGTAATTAGTAGCAGTACACAAAGCAACAGGGGAACGGCGAAGTGCATGAGGAAGCTGTGTGACGATTTGTCGAGTGTGTGTTCGGTCAAGATCACGGTCAAACTCATAAAAAGTGTGTGGCTGCACTAATGAGACCTCCTAGGGAACGCTGAGCAGTTGAGTAGTTTCCAATGTCATTACCTCTCCTCCTGCTGATATTTTCCCCTGTTTTATACCAAGACTTGAACACCGATACTGCTGCAGAGAATGACTCATTTTCTTTGGTTGTGCATTTTATTTACTGTCACTCATCCAATGTGCTGGTTTGTCCCTTTTAACCGCGGGTAACCACACTCCAAGCATTTGTGACCCCATGAAAAGTCTAGATTGGTCTGAGACGTCTGCTGTTTGACATAATAAAAAGGGAAGAAGAATACAAACAGAGTTAGAAAGAAGCCTGAATGTCAACACAGGCAAATAGCACATAAACCAGAGGAAAATCTGACGCATGCCACACTGAGGTGACACTAAAACCAAAGTGCAAGAACAAACTAGACTAAGAGTCTGCAGCCGTGCTAGCAGCTCTATGAGGCTGTACTTAGGCACAGCAGTGCTTAGCAGGTTTGAAGTTTACCCTGTTCACCACCTTATTTTTTGCATGCTAGCATTTGCTAGTTAGCGCATAGAACACAAAGTAGAGCTGAGGCTTATTAGTTTTGCAAGTATCTGGTCAAAAACTGAGGTATTAGACAAACATCACCTGATGATCGCACTTATCAGTGAGAAAAAAATCAGGGCATCAAAGTTACGTTTCATCCTGAGGGGACAATGAATGTCTGCACCAAATTTCACAACAATTCATCCAGTAGCTGTCGAGATTTTTCAATAAAAACAAACACGTCAACCTCATAATGGCACTAGAAGAGAAGTCAGCGGATGATTCATCCTCTGGGGAACATGAATGTCAGGATAAAATTTACTGAGACGTTTCAGTCTGAACCAACAATGTCAACCTCATGGTGGCACTACAGTAAAAACTACGGGATCACTAATGTCAGTAGGATGCATCCCCCGGGGAACATGAATGTTAGTATAAAGTTAGTTGAGACAATTCAATCTGAAGCAACAATGTCAACCTCATGGTGACCTTAGAGGAAAACTCATGGGTTCATCAAAATCAAAAGGATACATCTTCTGGGAACCATGAATGTCTACACCAACTTTGGCCAATCCATGTGAAAAATGCTGAGTTTTACAAAGTCATTAAAGTGTGTTCACCAGGGACCTTGAGTTGTCAAATGTCAACCTCATTGTGGCACCACAGTAAAAGTCAAGGGATCACAAAAGTCAGTAGGATTCATCCTCTGAGGCCCATGAATGCCTGGGCCAAATTTCATGACAATCTAATTGTTGTCAAAATATTTCAGTCTAGAACAAAGATGTGAACCGATGTGAGATGGCTGCTTTCCAAAGACAGGAGCAAAGTCATGTCACAACAATAGCCCTACAATCCACCCATATGCCTCAGGTCAGCCTTGAATACTACACAACCCACCTCACCTCACCACTCCACAAAACATAGATTACGTATGGAAACTGATCAAAGACAGATGGTGTTTAAGCTGCGTCTGGAGGCAATATTTTAATCACAGAAAACAGCTTCATGGAACACGTGAGGTGGGAGTTCAACCGGCTAGGTGCTGGCCTCTCTGTGTGTGAATGTGCCTTGGTCAACATAGTTGTCCGGCCTGTCTTTTATCACAGCCCAGATATGTGGCAGCGTTTCAAGCCGAGCATGTGCTGGCTTGATTAAAACTGAACGCCCACCCTGGCTCTGCCGCTCTGAATGGTGTGTAATGCTGAGGGGGCAAGACGGGGTCAGAGCTCAGTGAAGGGGTGTGGCCACTAGGGGGACGAGCTGGGCTTGAAGTACAGAGCGGGCTGATGGATGGTGCCTGCAGAGGTCAAACTGTTCATTGTCCCCTTTTGATTTGATTTTATCTACTTTACATTCTATTTATCCCGGATATATTCATTTTCTTGGTTTAATGTCTTTTTGCAAATCACTTTAACTTGTAGAAAAGTGCTATATTTTATCATATCAGGAGAGGCTTTGTGTTAATATATGTGTTGACATGTTGACTGTGTCCACATGTAAACAAGCATTCACTGAGGCATGCTGTATCTGAATGCAGCACACACACAGTAACAGTATCAGTGGTGCAGATAAGCTGTTGTACTGATTATAAGAAGCTCCAGTACGACATCTGTAGTGTGGTGACAACAGCGGAGACACTGAGGCACGTAAACACATTATCTCCATTAATACGTTGTGTTTTTATTTTAAGTAATGTGGTGCTTCAGTCATCTGGAATATTTAACTGGTGTGTTTACTTACAGTGATACATGCATGTTTTAGACGGCTTTGACAGCTTTGCCCAAATAAACACAACTTTTAAATGTCTACAGATTCAGTCAGCGGATCAGACTGTATACAGTCTGTGGTCCAAACAGAATAATAGCTGTTAGCAGACCATGCATCCAACAGACTACCAATTATAAATAACCAACCAGCTTCCTGCATGCAGCTTCACTTGAATAAATCAGAAAAGGGCAAAAATTACACTTTAAACAACAATTTAAAAAAAGGCTGTATGGACACTATGGTGGTGCAACAAGCATGAATTCAGTGGTTGATTGTAATAAGTACATTTACTCTAATACTGTACTTTGGTACAATTTTGATGCACTTGTATTTGTATTTCTGTTTGATGCCACCTTGTACTTCAGTACATTTCAGAGGGGAATACTGTAGTTTTTACTGCGACACTACATTTATGTGACAGCTGGAGTTACTGGTTACCTTTTAGTTTATAAAATACATTTATAAATGCACTGTCACAGATTAAAGCAGAGGTTCCCAACATCTTAAAAAAAGTGTCCACTTGTGGCTCCTCTCAGACGAGGTGTTAACTAAAGAGACATTTCCCCTCTGAACTTCAAACACTTAAGAAAAGTCTAAATAATGAATACAGGTTTGTGTATCAGAACTTATGTTCTTCTTTCCTGCACATTCATGATCTCAGGACCCCTCAGATTTATCATGTGACCCTGAGAGGGGCCTGAACCCCAGCTTGGGAACCAATGGGCTAAACTATCAAGTACAGTAAAATGTTATACACATATAAGGTAGTCAATTTTAACAAATTAATAATGTAATATAATATAATCATATATCAATATCACAGAGACGTTCTGCAAACTATTTCTTTAACTTTTGATACTGTCACTTTAACCTGCAGTAACTGATTTTTATTTATTCATTTATTTTTGTTAAGGATAAGTTGTGAGCAAACATTCAGACATCACATTTTAAGTGGATCCAGCAGCTACAGAGCAACACGGTCTTTCATTTGAAGTGGTGTTTGTGCACCTGATGTAATTAAGTCCAATATTCACTCACTTTTAGCTGTTTTTGGCAAAACGTCAATCAGTCAATCATCAATCAGCACAGGTATAGTCAATATCAATTGCATGCATGTTTTAGCTTCATGCAGCTGCACAATACTGCAGTGCCACGCAGCGCGGTCATCGTGGATATTAACTGTGTTGTTGTTGTTCTCACCTGTTTGAAGGAGATTCAGCAGCTCTGCGCTCGTGCCTGAGGTTCTCTCTGCTCGCGCTGCTTCTCTCATTGTTTTTATTTATCGTGATTCTGCAGAATGAAACGATGAATGTCAACGCCTCCCGAACAACAGGTATTGGTTAGCTTTGATAAATCAAGATTAAATCGTGCACCTGTTGACATTTACATTCTGGATGCGTTTGATTTCTCGCACTTATCACCCTGCCCGGGTGGGTGCGGCACTAATCACTCATTTAAAGCTGTATGAAGAAATTTCTTTATGTTAACAGCTGTTATCATTCAACCCTGCAGTTCTCCTCCAAACTGCTTAATTATACAGTTTATTGTTTTTCACTGTTGGAAAGTAACTAAGTACATTTACTTTTCCATTTCCAGTTTCTCTTACTTTATCAAATCCAGAGATGTGGATTGTACTTTTTACCCCACAAAAGTTATTGCATAACGACTCGTTACTTTGCAGATACAGATAAATAACACAAAATATAATCTACAAATAATAAATATAGATTAAGACATGGTAATATAAACATTATCTGATCCTTGGAGGGAAATTCACGAGCTACCCAACAATCTATCAGATAGGCTACTCAAAATTATCCCCACCTTTATCAGCTGCAACATTGAAGTGATGAACACATTAATGCATCAAACATGACCTTTGGTACTTTGTGTATATTTTGATATATATATATATATATTTTCAGCAAAAAAAAGCTCTGATGAACCCACTGTACATTACCTGGCCAGCACCAAACTGCCAATAAACAGTTAACGACTAGCATTATGGAGCACGAGCAGCTACAGAGCCAGTTGTTTCCCTCATGAGAAAATCTTCTCAAGAGGAAATTAAAACAGAGATAAAAGCAAGGTGAATAATGGACTTATATTCATCAGACACAAACATGAGTCATCTCACTGTTATTCTGAAGGTCTTTTATGGTAACAGCTGAGGCCGTAGTGATGGTGCTGTGATGTGTTACTTCCCATAAATGACTGGTTCAACAGACACTAACATCACCAGCTGTATATCCATGTCCAAGGATTACCAGAGAATCCTGAACAAGACAAGAACACTGCAGTAAATGTCATAATGTTATGATTTCACTTATAAACCAAAGCAGCCCATTCTTCTTACTGTATGTCAAAAGGAAATGCTCTTAGTGTTTGGTCAGACAATTATAAAATTACAGACTGTATTCACAACACATTCTCACATTTACTCTTCAAACTCCTCCCATAGGGAGAGAAAAATACATTACAGTCATTACTGTGCTTCAAACAAGGGAGAAAGTTAAAAGGTGCATTTGCTTAAAGTGGAACCCTGACAATTATACACATGAAGATCAGGCTACTGTTCACAAGGAGTAGTACTCAGTCTGCGAAAACAGTTTGTTTAACATGGATGTATTATAATTGGATACTAGACTGAAAATTGCTCCCTGAGCATATAATGCTAAAACATTTTCTAGCCTCTGCTCTCTATGGCTATCTTTCCTGAGCTTGGGAATATTTTATGTACGGGACCTTCATGATTTAAAGATCCCATATTTTATAGATTTCCAGTGTTTTATTTGAAGTGTTGATCCATAAGAAGATATATTTGTGGTTTTGAGAGCAAAAAACCATCTCAGTGTAGTTTTACATCTCCTCTCTCAGGCTTCTCTCTGGAGCTCTAGTAACAACAGGTCGG